TCTTTAACTAGGTAAACTATATTCTAGTGGATATTATTGACCTATCTTTTATCATTTATTATTTCTTCTTTAAATTAATCGTCTACTGAATTAAATGTTCTTATATCAGTCTATCTATCCATCTATCAGTAAGTTTCATCTTTAAACTTGTAGGATTTTGTTGGTATATTTCATCATTTATTTATAAAAGAATTCGAATATCCTTGAATTTTCGTTATCGTTATGTATCCAATAAGTTTTTATTGCTAAATCCATAGTTTAATGTCTACCTAACATGATTATTCTTATTGTGATTGCCTACCTAGAATTTAATATTCTACGTGTTTCGCCTTCACAACCAAATATGGTAGGTTTAGACGGTTATCCTTTGAGATTAGTCAAGGTGCACATAAATTGACTCGGACACTCACAGATATTAAAAAAAATAATAAAATAAAATATAACGTTCTTACTCTATTTGATGGCATGTAAACATTAAATTGAGGTTGTTGACAGATCTATTACACGAAATTAAAAGTTTATGATCTATTAAAATATAATAAATAATGAACAGTAACTTTTAAAGTTGGAGAGTTCATATAAAAAGGAAAAAATAAATTAAAGTTGTTAAAGTTGCTGAATACGGCCCCTAGCTTTTAGCCAGTGCCTTTATTCCATCGTGGTAAAATTCATACATTAGAGTAAATTTATTATTTTTTTTAATTGCGGTAACAAATTTAGATCCAATTATGAGATTCTCTTTCTATCGCATATGAATGGAAAATAAGGTATAATTCAAAGTTTCTGAAAGTTCCATGTAATTTCTTTTACTATCCTTTTTAATTTTATATTTCGTTTAGAGTGATATTTATGTTCGTACTACTATTTGAGATGATAATAATGTTCCTTCTAGTTTCTAATCATGGATAGAATCTACTTGTAACTTATTTTTATAAATGAGTTGTTATACTATTGTGTCTCGTTTATGAGGCGTGTGATGTTTTTTTTCGTTGCGGTGCTGATCGACTTTCTTGTTATTGGTGTTTTCGTTGGCTTTTTGGTAAGTCTCTTTGTTCTATTTATCTCTTAGCTGGTCTGTCTTTATCCTGCAATATATTAATATTTTTTAAAAAAGAAAGAATAATCAAGAATAATCCAAATATTGTCGTAAGTAAGTAAGTAAATAAATAAATAAATAATAATAGTAGCAGTAGTAGCAGTAGAGGGAAATTATTAAGGGGACCATATATTTCTTAAATGGGTGTCCATCACTGTCTCCTGAAGATGGAGACTTGTTTTCACTTTTCCATTGTCTCCCCTTCCATACCTTTAATTCAAGTGTATTTTTGGCTTTTTTTCCTTTTATCAAAATTAGTCTAAAGCCTTTCATTCTTTTATTTTATTCATTGTAAAAGAAAAAAGAAAAAAAGAAAAGTTATGTTGGTATGGCCAAAGGTGAACAATTGAATCTACAAAATCAAGAAAATTAACGACGTTGGTCAATTAGTTAGCTCAAATTTGATACATTTATGTCGTCTACTATTTTGATGGACAAACTAATAAACGAAAAAGTTAATTGGGTCATAAAGCTATATTTTTCATCTTCCTCTTGTTATATTAGACGTAAAAACAAATAAAAGATGGTGAAAAATAATTAGAAGATAGGACTTTAATATTGCGTTGTCCTCTTGCCTCACCCTCTCACAACTAACTTCTAAAATACTTATGTAAGGATGGATTCACGTTGGACCTAGGGGCTCGAGTCCCCCTCAATTTTAAATCTTAGTGAAAAAATATATCCCATAACTTGGGTCTTTAGTCTCGTGGCGACGAGACCGTGCCCCCTTTGGCGCGTTCAAATTCGATTCCAAAAAATATATTAATGCATTTTAAAATGATGAAATTTGCCATGCCCTTAAACTTAATTATAACTGGAAAAAAAAACTTATTTTTGAGGCATAGAAGATGCTCTGGGAAACAAACTGAGTGAGTTGGAGGATAATTTGCACGATTTTGCAGGGCACTTGTCAGAAGAATAAACTCTGCCTCTCTTTTATCTTTGGATAGTTTAATATATCTTATTATATTATTGTAGAGAAATTGTACACGTTTGTTTTAATTTAAAAAAAAATTGTTACTACTATGTTTTATTGGTATGTGATATTCTCTTAGACCATAATTTAATTGTTAAAAGAAAAATACTCAGGCTTGATTCCATCTATATCTTGAACTGGCTATCCTTTAAATGTTTGATAAATAAGAGAGAAAAATACAAAAATGGATAATTTAAAAAAATAATAATAAGCGGTTGATTTTTCAATAGCAATCAACATAGAGATAGGTCGTCATCACCCGTCGGGAACTAAGTATTTTCCATTGTTAAAATAACAATGTGTCTCCATATCTTTAACTAAAACTAGGGTTGTTCAAGAAATCCGACGAACCCAAACAATTTGGGTTGGGTTCGGTTAGATGTGGGTTGGATTGTGATTTTTCCAATCCGATTGGGTTGGGTAGGGTCTCGAGTTCAACATTTAAAAAATCGGATGAATCCAACCCAACCTGAATTTATGCATATATGTGTATTTTTTTTAATTATATATATATATCCTTATCTTCAATGTCAACCGTCAATTTAGTTTTAATCTTGGCCCTTCATTTAAGGTTTTCATATTATCTTCTTCTATCTTGTATGTTAATCTCAGCCGTCCATTTAGTTTTAATCCTAACACTCTGTCGCCACCATAATAATTAATAATTAAAAATTAAAAAAAAAAGCAACCCGACAACCCAACATAACCCAACCAAAAAAATATTGGGTTGGGTTGGGTTGGGTTAGCCATCCAATTCAAATCCGACAGTTCCTATATATGACCAACTCGAAAATTCGAGTTGGTATCCCAAAATCCCTCATAACCCGACTCGACCCAACCCATGAACCACCCTAACCAAAACAAATACTCTCATATATAAGTCTCATACCACTTGTTTGAACCTCAAGTCTAATCTCCACAGCTTTATAATAACATGATATTTGTCATCTTCGAACCCAAACCACATTGGTTTACTTTTGATTCACGAAAAAGTCTCATACTAATTATGAATCTTTTTCGCTTCTAATCATCGACGTAGGGCTACGTTCTCGCGTCGTCCCATACAAAGTATATAGTAGAGTGTTGTTTTGGTCCATGTGCATATGCACATTCACAAGTCTCCAATAGAGGGTGTAGAAACACACCCTTTTATATTTGATATGTGAGGGTGAGGGTGTGGGTGTAGATATATATTTTGTGGGCATTATGATGTGTTTGCATGTGAACCATCCTAAAAATTGGTGTACTTGAGATATTTTCTAGAGCTCCCGAAAAAGACATTATATGGACTGGATTAAAAGGGTCAGTCATCCTAAAATTAGGATTCATTTCTTGTCGCAAATATTCACTTGTAGCATACCATATCTCAATGGAATGACGTAATTTTTCTGCTGCGTGTATGTTCCATAATGATTGTGATAATTGGAAGCATTACATATATATTTGTTGGGATACCCTACAAAACATGGGTCTAGCTAATTAACAAAAAGCATTAGAATATCCCAAAAGAGAAAAATGGACCAAGTCTTGGTTTTGGGGATCAAGAGGGGTTTGGATTATTGGAGCATTTGCTATGTGGAATATACCATTTTTAAATTTCAGCCAACCAATTTTATGTTGTGTTACCAATTAAGTCTTTTTCTTGATCTAATTTTGATCATCAAACTTTTGAAGTTCTCTAAACTTTCAAAATATTTGCTGTAATTCTTATTCTTTCTTATTTCTTATTCTTCCATTTTTAAAATGTCAATGACATTCTTCCACTTTCAAAATATCAATTTTAATTCTTTAAGTTTTTAGGTATGTTTCATTTTACATCTCAAAACTTTTAAATGTACATTTTAGACAACATCTCTATTAAAAATTAGAACTTTTGGATATACCAAAAGAAAAAATATAAGGATTAATGTCTAAAATAGACAATATTATACCATTGTAGAGACATTGTGAAAGATCTATCGTCTAAATATACCAATTTTAACTTAACCCGCCACATGTATCATCAAGGAGTTGAAAAGGTTTGTGCTAGTATATAGACGAATGCCAACATTGGTGACATCGCGACCAAATGAAGGGTTGTTTTTGTTTCAAGATGAATTAATTAAGAAGTTTAAGAGTTAAAATGAAACTTTCGCATGAATGGATACATAATAAATCAAAACTAATTACCCTGTAATTTAGAGGCTTGATGTATTTTTCATTTCACTCATATCCAACAAGACACATGTTTGATCGATTCAATTTGCTTCTTTTTCTTCACTATACCGATCAGCCTTCACATCACTGCCCTCCTCCTTTTGAAGAATTGGAGCGCCTTCTTCTCCTTCTCCCTCCGCCCGATTGTCTTGAATAATCGAAGCGCCCTCCTCTCCCCCTCCTCCTCCATTCGACGCCCGATTGTCTTGAACAATCGGAGCGTCTTCTCCTCCCCCTCCATCCAACTCCGCAATCGGCTCCTCGGTCTTGTACTTATACCACGACGCCCAATACAAGTAATGAAAGAAGTTCAAAATACTAAGAATGGCCAAGAACCAATAGAAGAGATTCAAATTGTTGTGGTTCAAGTCCTCCGGAATCTGGCCTTCAACCCAACCCTTTTTGCTTGGAGCTATGTTTCTAGTGACCTTATTCACCACATTCACAAAGATGGAGCTCAAGTAGTAGCCAAATGAAAGGGAGAGCCATGTGAATGAAGTGGAGAGGGACCTCATCCCCACAGGAGCCTCCTTATAGAAGAACTCCAGCAGCCCCACCAGGGTGAACATGTCTGCTATTCCAAATATACCGTATTGGAACGACAGCCAAAACAGGCTCATCGGTTGGTTCGGATGGTTCGTCGCTTGGTTCCGCCGCTTCACCTCGACCAGCCCTGCTACCGCCATTGATATGGCCGAGAGTACCTGTTGAGAATACTTTTTAAAATGATTATTTTTTAAAAAGTTCCAGAACCAAAATAGAAATTTACAAAAATAGACATTTTAAAGCATATTAGAAACCTAGCTTGAGATTAATATTATCTATAAACTCTGTATATAAGTTAAGTTTTTTGAGTTAAAGTGATAGTTTTAAGATCATTACCAGTCCAACCCCGACGCGCTGGAGCTGGGTGATGCCCGAGGGGTGGTGGGTGATCTTACGTGCGAAGGGGACAAAGACAAACTCGTAGAGCGGGATGAGAAATGCCATGAAAACCAGAGGGATGACAGGGATTGAAGGTGCTGGGAACTGGAGATGGCCAAGGCTTCTGTCCATAATTGTAGTGTTGCCTTGTTCCACAGAGAAAGTTTGGAGCTGGGCCAAGCAAGTGTTCATGATAATGGTGCTGATGAATATGGGCACCATTCTTGTTATGATCTTCACTTCTTCTACTTGAGTTACACTGCAAACTTTCCATGCTTGGGCTTCTGAATCATTTGGGAGAATTGCAGCTTTGTCAAGAAACCTGATTCATGGATCACATCATCACTTCAATAATTAAATTCAAGTTGTGTTCTAAGCTTTGTATCTGTTAAATTATAAGTTTGGATCGTGAAGTTTAGGTTACTGAACTTTAAAAAATGTTTAAGAAATCTATAAACTCTCGGTTTTTTTTTTATCTAATAGGTCTTTAAACTTTCAAGTGTCCTAATTATAAGTTGTTGAATTTGTAACTTAAAAGTCTCTAACCTGTTATTTATTTTTTTTAATTTTGAATTTTGTGTTCAAGACAATCCACCTTTTGATTTTGTGCCCAGTTAATAAGTTTTTGAATTTTTTTAAAGAAAATGTTAAATATATCTTTTTTTGAATTTTGTGTTGAAGATTCTTAGTTGAAGATAAGTGCCTTAAACAGTTGATTAAAGATCTGTTAAGTCATGAAATTGAAAGTTCATAATCTATTAGATACTTTTAAAATTTAGAGATAAAAATGAATGTTTAATGTTTTAAGAATTTATTAGAAACCTTTTAAAATTTAAAAATTTATTTAACACGACTGTAAAGATTAAATTTATAATTTTATGAGTACAGTGAAGGAAAGACTGCTGCATGTCTAAAGAGAATGATCATAATCTTAATTAATTTAAGGTTAAATTACTAGATTGGTGTTTATGGTTGATTTGAATTTGGGTCCTATAATTTGAACTTAGTTTTAATTTTATCGCTATTATTTTGGGCTTAGTTTCAATTTACTACTCAAGCCTTAAAAAAAATTTAATTTAGTTCCTATGATTTGTTCAAATTTTTCAAATTTATGTCAATGTTGTTACTTTCCAACGTTTTATATCTATGTTTCATATATTATCTGTTGATGTTAATTTTTTATCGATATTTATACAAAATTTGAGATCTCGACATTTAAAATCTTAATTGAAACTAAGCCGAAACTGTAAAAATAAAATTTAAAATTTAAAGTGAAATTTGACAATAAAAATAAAATTTACCTGAGCTGATTGGTGTGTGCAATTTTAGAGTCAATGGAATCCAAATAATATTTGTCACTAATCTCATACAATTCGCTCGGTGAGTCCGGCAAGGGTAACCTTCGGTTTCTAATTGCCACGACAATAACCTGCGACGAACAAATGCGAATCTAAAGCTCACCAGAAAAGATATTTATTATCAAGTTTCATGTTATCGATTGTCTCGTAATTGTTAAATTAAAAACAAATCAAATTTCATTTATCCCATATCAAATATATAATCTAAACAATTTGATTAAGATCTTAATTATATTTAATAACCTCACTTATGTAACATATGAGGTGGCATAATGCTGTACAAAAAATAAAATTTTAAATATATGTTCTAGTCACTACCATTTTAACATTTTAATTTCTACTAACCTTCATCAAAACTTGGATGAATTAGAAATTCTCGTGTTTGTTGTAATCTAATTCTGTCTTCTGGATCTCTATTAACTCGCTTGATCATGTGTCATGTGAGTTTACCCATAGTGTCATTTAACATCTACTAACAATAAGGGTTAAAGTCAAAATTAATAAGATATAAATCCTATTTCGATTTATTTTTATTAATTTTGTTCATGGTTTCCTCTAAATTCTTTTTATTTACCTCTCCTTTGGAACTATTATTAGCCAAATTTCAAAAAAAAAAATTCAAAAGTTATTTTTTAACAAAATTAAAAACAAAATAATTATGAAAAGGGTTTAAAAAAAATATAAACATATGAGAGAAATAGAGAGAGACCTGAATGATCCTCGAGACTGGGCTTTCACCAGGCACATGAAGCCTATAAAATGGCTTCCCAACGGCAAAGACAACAAACCCGACGGCAGTGGCGACGGCGGAGATCAAGAACCCCCAAAACCAGGCCTTGTTAACTGCGACCCACACGATCACAGTCACTCCCACGGCGGCGCCGACCACGACGCTGAGCAACATACAGTTGAAGAATGTGGGCAGAGCTTTGGCCTCCCTCGGATCCTTCTGGTCGAACTGGTNGCGCCGAGCGCGGGCAGAGCGCCTCTCACCCCGCCCGACCCGACCGCGAGGAGGTACAGCGAGGTGTAGAATACGAACGCAATGCGGCCCCGGACGCAGTCCTTGAGACAGTCAGGTTTCGGGAGAAGATCTTGGGAGTAGGCTTGGACTGTGATCATCACTAATGCCTGTAGTTTTGATACTAGAAATGAGTGTTTGATGTATTTTACTCGAACACATAAATTTTTTTTGTCGTGTTTAAAATAGTATTAGATTCTGTACTTAAATTATTATCACTTTCTCAGATTTGGAAGAGATTTAGTTTTAGAACGAAGCTCAAATCAGTATAAACTAGCTAAAACATTTAAAATTATAGAAATCAAACCGAGTAATAAGCTCAAACACAAGTATCAACTTGCTCATTTAACCTTTATTTTAGGTTAAATTATCAATTTTAGTTCCTTTATAGTTTGAGTTTGGTTTAATTTGATTTCTATATATGTTTAAAAAGTCTCAATTTTTTGTCTTTATGATTTAGGCGTAGTTTCAATTTAATCCTATCATTTATCGTTTGTTTAAGCCTCACAAATTGTCCGTGACCATTTTTTACCATGAATTAAAATTCACTCGTTTGATATATGTGTATTTATAGAAAACGGTGTCATATATTCAATATAGTAATGTCTTGTTATAACATGTATAATTTTATGTAATTTTATCGAATAATAGGAATTAAATTAAAACTTTCAAAACTACAGAGGCCAAATTGAAACTAAGCCAAAAACGATCAAAACCACAAGAACTAGCGGAATTGAAAATAAGTTAGAAATCTAATAAATTGAAATTTGTAAGATGATAAGAGACTAAATTGAAACTAAACTCAAAAATTATAGGAATGGGATGAATCTTACGAGAATTTCGAGGACGCCGAAAATGAGACTGGTGGTGAGCCTGTTGATATAGGTGTCGGAAAGGAAGCCACCAAGAAGAGAGAGCAAAAATGCAGAACCAAGAAAGTTGGTGAGAGTATTTGCAGCAGTTTGCAGATCAAAATGCATCACCAGAAGAAAGTACTGAACCAGGCTCACCATATTTGCCACAAAGCCCATGTTCTCAAAGCTAAGCAATGCTGTTAATAATATCACATATATTGATCATCAAGAACCCTTTTTTTTCGAGCACAACATGTTGGGGAAGGGATTCAAACTTACAACATCTTGGTTGGAGGTAGCTCGCTTTTGTTGATGATCAAGAATTTGAATGACAAATTTCACAAACTTTTTTAAATTGTTGACGTTGTAATTCAGTCTATTTAGATCATTGATGGTAATTAAATATCTCTACTCAGTTAAACTTTTAACTTTTATTTTAGGTTTAAATACTTTTTTTATCACCCTTTGATTTTATTTTTAGTTTATTTTAGTCTTTATAGTTTGAAAATGTTGGTTTTTGTCTGTGTACTTTTAAAAAAAGTGACCAATTTGATCTCTAACTTCTTATTTTCAAAATTTTAACATGAATTTTATGTCCATGGGAACTCTTTATTACAAATTTATAGTTCGAGAAATTTAGTGGGTAAAGTATCCTGCTAAAATTATAGTTGAAAGAAATTGGATAAAAATGGAAATGAATGAACCAAAATAATCACTTTTAAAAAGTACCAAACGTCTTGAAAGACCATGACTAAAATAAACCAAAATAGTCATTGTTATTGTTAGCCTCCTTACTTAAATGTTGTCATGACGTGTTAATTGAATTTGAAAAATAAAAAAAAAAGAAAAAGAAAAAACTGATGATTTGTAACAGTAAGAATAATGAAATAAAATGGCTAACATGAACCTAGCTCAATAATTAAGACATGTTGCTTTTTCTCAGAAGTCGAATAAGAAAATTAGGAGGTCGCATTTATTAATCAAAAGGTTTGAAGACGCAAGTGAAATTTTTTAGACTTCTCATATTAAAAACAAACACAAACCATCCAAGTTCGTCAACTAAATCCAAATCTAGTAGTTTACCGAAAATAAATATAGTAGCTCGAAATCCGCCTTTTCCTTTATTGCTTGGATCGACATCTTTGATCTCCCTCGCCTCAGATCCCTACATATGATGATCAACGTCAAATCAACTATACTCAGATTGGCTAAATTAGACTCGTGAAAGATGAGATTAGAGTATCTAAATTAACTCTCACCATGGCAGCTTTGAAAACAAATAATGGGCCGACAAGAAAACAGTTGAATTTGTATTACTGTATATATAGCCCAAGGATCATAGTATATAACGTCCATATCTCATAAATTCCATCGCCATTCTTTAAATATTGAATCTCTCTGAATTTAGGGTTTGTGAAAATAAAGAATTTGATTGGAAGTGGAAGTGGAAGCGGATAAAGCAAGTGCTTTTTTGGTATCATTATCGTTGAGGACACATGGTTTTGCCCCCAACAATGCCATCTTTGTTCATGATTTTTGTTTTACAATGTGAATGTGACATGATTTTCATTATTTAAGTTACTTTTCACCGCCTCCCCGACTAACAAGTCTGRATTCGAATTTCTAATATTGCTGAACTAAAATAGGGTATTCTCGAAAAACTTAACTATAATATATATTTCATTTTTCACCTTTTTCTGCACTGCATTGCACATATTCTTTGGAGTTCTGGTACRTTTTACTCGTCGAATTTAGGCTTTCAATTGTGCTCCCTGGCTCCGTTGATTCTTTCATATCAAAGGCTCGTTTTTCTTCAACGAAATCCAACCGCACTACTCTTTGGTATTCTTGCAGTGAACTCGCTTTTATGGCACATTTGGTTGGAGCGAAACAACTTAATATTCTTTGATCGAGATTCGTCATTCGCTCATCTTTGAGAAGATATCAAAGTTTCAGCATCTARTTCGTCCTCCAAAGACCTTCCCCTTTTGTAATYACGATTGTTCTACTATATCACTTAATTGGAGTGCTTTCATATAGTCTCCTTTTGGTATGTTCCTCACATASTTCTTAATGAATTACCTCGTATCGTATCTTTTCCAAAAAGAACTTTCAAAATTTTTTATTTCTAGTTGGTATACAAATGTTTAGGTTTATTCTATTTTGGTCCCTTAGATGTGATCTACTTTGTCCTTTTTTTAGAATAGGTACATCTAATTTAGTCCTTAACTTTAATAACCATTTTATAATAGTTTAACCAATGCGATAATATGATTTTGAATATTAATGTACTGACATGAACATATATTGAAGTCAAATAAGTTGGACGTTGAGGAAGTAATAGATAAGTCAATAGTAAGTAGCACAATAATAGCAATAGCGAGGAATAAATGGTTATTGTTTGAAAGTTTATGAACTAAAATAAACATTATGAAAATTTACGGCTAAACTAGTCATTTAAGAAAATTAAAAKTTCAAATAAATATTTTGAAAGTTTAAAGAACAAAATAAAATAAATCTAAAATTTTATAGATCAAAATGGAATTTAAGCCTKATTCAACATTTTTGTTGAGGATTAGCTAATATAATGCTAGTCATAACCATGGTTCTATCCGTCGAATATCCATGTTTTCATTGATTCGACATCRACATGAGGGATAAATCGACATTTCCATCATAGTATAAGAAAATCAACAAAATATGAAAAGTATCAACAAAATGTCACTAATATATACCTAATATTAATTATTTTTAACTAATTTAGAAATARGAAAATGTTAATTTGTTAATTTAAATATTTTTTACGATTTTTTAATTTTTCTAAGTTTTACAGAAATATCATCGACATCAAATTGAGAACTCGACATTTAAAACACTGGTGATAACAACTATTTTAAACTATTTTCAAAACCTCAAAAACAGTACACTCATTTCTTTGGAAGTTTGATTTCCGCCTCAATCTGCCTTTTTCTTCTCACCGTAATCCAATAACTTGAATTTCCAATCGAAATGTTAGCTCCAAATTTTATACGGTACTTGAATTTCCAATCGAAATGTTAGCTCCAAATTTTAGACGGTATAAATATATGAATGAAGAAATGAGTGCAGACAAAATGAGAAATATCAATGTAGTCTTTTTAATCAGCTTTACGTAAGAGCGGCTAACAAAAAACTTCGTAGCAACCATTTTCAAGCAGTAAAATTGTCATGTTTTGAGAGATCAAAGAAGACTTGGGGACTACAAAGATATCTATAATTTATCCCTTTTAATTAAATAAATATTTTATCTAAATGTGGCTTAATTATATAATTTTGATGTTTTTGTTATTATAAAATAATTTAATTTAAAAGTAATTTTTGAAAACATATATTATTGAATCCATCTTACATATGAAAAATTAAAGTCAACCACAAACAAAATTTGATTTTATTCATCACATCGATATATGATGGCCAGTTCCAATTTTGAATATATTTTSTAACTTAAGATGCAGAAAAAAATAATATTACAACAATATGTCAATAAGTAGAATTTAAAAAAATAGATAATCATAAAAAGTGTTAATTAACCCAAGAAAGTGATAATTCCTCTAATTTTGAGGCATAAGAGATATGAATTTGTATAAGAATTTTTTTTATCAAAACATTATGCTATAAATGTAAAAATAATCATATACGAACTTCCAACTCATGATGAAAATATGCTAGTAYTTAGAATAAATGAGATGTAAGATTTTTTTTAGTTCAACGACCTGTACGGGTAGAGATTCAAACCTTCAATCTTTTATGTCGTTAACTAGTTGAGTTATACTAGGATTGAATGAATATTTTATTTAATAGAATGTAAAATATTGCTTTTTTTTCACTCACAAAAGACTTTGTAGAGTAACGTGCTTGTCAACTAAAAGTAGTTGACCTCACAATAGAATTTATTAGATATATGGTAGGCGGATCTTAGTTTATGAATTCTATAAATCATATGGTATATTTTTAAATGTCTTGTAATATAAAATATTCAAATCATTGCTTTTAAATGCTATTAATTTTGAATAGAATTGATATATGTGATGGATTACAAGTAACAAGAAAATAATAGTAACTTTTTTGGTTTAAATCTCATTATAGTCTCTAAACTTTTAGGATTATTTTAGTTTAGTTGTTTTTTTAGAAAATTAAACTAAAATAAATATTTCAAAACTTTAAACCTAAGACCAATATGAATTTAACTCAATAGTAATTGATATATGTCTCTGAMCAGACCAAGAGGTCATAAGTTTGAATTCTCCCACCTCCACTTTGTTATATTTCGAAAAAAGAAAAAAAAAACTAAAATGAATTTTAAAATAATTTTTTAAAGTATGGAGTAGAGTTCATGAATCTTATAAAATAGGGGGAATATAATTTGTAGCTATCTTATCTCTATTTGACTTCACAAAGAAAGAAGAAAAAACTATCAAATTCTCAATTTAATTAAAAGAAAATATAATATAATAAAGGGGATAAAAATATAAATAGAAAATAGAAAATAAAAGTCAACAAAAGATGCTACTCATCTTCCGCCGTGGTGCATGCCTTTTGCGCCTATATACTTCGTAATAAAAATGGCCCCCAAATGCTTTTTAAACTATTTTCTACTCCCAAATCAATATTTTTTAAGCATTGATATGGATGAAAATATCTTCAATTTTATGAAAATGTTAAAAGGAAATATCGTTAAAAAAATCATGTCAGAATGTCACCTAACTGCTACGTTTAACTTTAGAATTCTTAAGATTGAAATACTGAAAYAGAAAAAGAAAGTAAATTATTTTTTTCAAGTCTTTCTTAACTATGCTGGTACAACCTCGAGATCATTCTCAGTCTACCCCTCTACGCAACATCATGATGGGTTGATCGTGGATCTARCTTAGACCATTAAGCTAATAGATTGATAGCTTTCTTGCCAATTTTGAAAAGCACTTGTGATTGTGATCGTGATCGACTCCATCTAAATTGAGGCAATATAAGTTTGCAAATTTTATGTGCAAATATTGGTGTTTGACCAACATCAGCTCCACGAAACCACACCAAAATCTTTTCTTAGTCTATTATTTATGTTCTTATCAATAATTAAGTCAACCATCATGAATTTGTCTGATAGTCAATAAAGACCAATGTAAATAATAAATGACCWTAGAAAAAAATAATATCCTACGAGTTAACTTGACAACGGGTCACTAAAAGTAAAAGAATAATTAGAATGAAAAGAAAATTTGTGAAGAAAAAATAAGATGTTAAATTTTTCTATGGRATAGGCCCTAGGCTCAAGACAAGACGAAAGGAAAGTTCAAATACCCAAAAAATACTATTCTAACATACATACGTATATAACTTTTCCTTATAGAAATCTTTCTCTAGATCCCGACCAGTTTAACAAAAAAAAAGTCTAGAGACGAGAGATGCCTCTTTCACTCTTGCCCCACAACATCCCAAAGACACGTCAAAATTAATTAAGCTATACTCAAATCGATAATAGAGAGAGTTATGGGTCGGTGAGATTTAGTTTTACTTGTCAAATGCTCACAAGGCTCTACCTTGACGTGCCCAAATTTCTACAAAAGAAGACAAAGGTAGAGTGGGCCATTGTGGCCTTGCCTCAAGCATTGACTTGGCCTTGGCTTTGGCTTTGGCTTTGGATCTAAGAAGATGTGGCATGTTTCGTGCACTACATTCTCCAATCTTATACAAATATTACTCTCTAAAGTCTCTATCATTAATTTATTTATTGAATTCTTACACTTAGCTCCAATTATATATTAACTTCCCACCCACCCTCACCCCACCCATTGCTTCCTACTAACGTCTCCCAACTCAGATTTCTTTCCTCTTTTACTTTTCTTCTCTTCCATTCTAATCTTCATCTTCTTCATCTTCATTACCTACTTTCTAGTTCCAAACTATCATCCAGAATCATGAAGTTTCTTCCTTCGCTGTTCCCCGTCGCCTTACTCGCCTTCTCCTTCGCACTCGCCGCTGCTGATCCCGACTTGCTTCAGGACGTCTGTGTCGCGGATCTCAACTCCGGTACCTAGCTACTTCTTACCCATTTTGCAAGTTCAAGCTATCTTCTTTCAAGTTCTTCCACAAATTCTCTAACACTTGATGTTGCCTAAGCATTGGTTCTCAATTTAGCGTATTGGGTTTCTTCTATTCGTAGTTTTTGTTCCCTATTTCTATAATAGCATGATATTGTCTACTTTGAACCTGAACTTTTACAGAGACGTGAGAATGTAATGTGACCAATGTTCCAGCTCGACTAGAAGAAATGTTGTCAACTCATATACCATTGGAAATGAGTACAATGTTAGAGCTGAACTCTTCCAGTCGATGTGKAACATTCACATTTCCTGAGTTAGAACACAACATCTCGAACTTTTTAGGATAAATCTAAAGCAAAATCGTTAGTTTAGGCCAAAATTAGACAATACAGGGGAGGGATCAGATGCATATATTCAGTTCTTCCCAACAATTTTTTGCTATCCATATTATGATCTATGAACAATTTGGCATTGAATCATACAGGAATCAAGGTAAATGGATTCACCTGCAAGTCGAATTTCTCAGCAAGCGACTTCTTCTTCGACGGACTGGCGAAGCCAGGGCTGACCAACAACTCGCTGGGCTCGCGGGTAACCGGCGCCAACGTGCAGTCGATCCCGGGCCTGAACACGCTCGGCGTCTCGCTATCGCGTATCGACTACGCGCCGGGAGGGCTCAATCCGCCGCACACGCACCCACGCGCCACCGAGATCGTCTTCGTCCTGTACGGCGAGCTCSACGTAGGGTTCATAACCACCGCCAATATGCTGGTCTCGAAATCGATCAAGCAGGGCGAGATCTTCGTGTTCCCCAAGGGATTGGTCCACTTCCAGAAGAACAACGGGAAGATGCCGGCGGCGGTGGTTGCGGCGTTCAATAGCCAGTTGCCTGGTACGCAGTCGATTGCGGCGGCGCTGTTCGCCGCTTCTCCGCCGGTGCCGGATAATGTGTTGACGATGGCGTTTCAGATTGGGACCAAGGAGGTGAAGAAGATCAAATCGAGGCTCGCTCCCAAGTAGGGCAGATTTATTAATGGAGTCTGTAAATTGAATGAAGGTTGTTTTTGGATTTGTGTGGTTCTTTCGATTCCTGARTTTTTTTTTTTTCTTTTTYCTCACAGATTGTTTGAATAAGGAATTGGGTTTGGGAATTTGGGGATTTGTTCTCTTTTTCTCGAGATCGTTTTTAAAAGCCTAGTTTGTGTAATGGCTTTKAATTATAGATTCCATTGGGTTTTTATGGTTTTAAAAATATTAATTCGAGTTYGAAMCTACGAAKAACTTTTCGTTASAGAGATATAAACCCTAATTGAGTTATSCTGGTATCTAAATCGATTTTTTACTAATTAGAAAACTCACTCATTTTTTCAAGTAATACAATTAATTAAAATCAAATCACGTTGATGTATTTGAGAATTTAAGACTTTTAAAATTATAGGATCAAAGTTGAAACTAAAGGTAAATTATAGGGACCAAGTTGAAAATTTTAAAACTATAGCGAGTTTTATTTAAAACTATAGCGAGTAAATTAAAACTGTTGATACTGAATTTTGGAAGATTCAAGATCTGAGGAGCTAACTGATTGTGCTATATGTAGCGAACTATGCAAGGAAACTTGGACGCAATGAACAAACATTCTGACGTTCAAGTTAGTCTAAAGCTTGAGTTAGTAGGTTGGTTCCAGGCATAATCACATACYTGTTGGCAAGAGTGATTGTGAATTTATAGTCGTTGGAGGAGAGACTGTGGCATTACTTTTCTATACTGTAACTAGTTATGCTCGAAAAATGAAGAAAAACTTATCAAAAACTGTGCCCTGTATTGGACGCTAATGAACTATCTTTCTACCTATTTAGTTCGATAATCGTAGGATAGTAAATGGTGATCATCCTTTCTCAATAGTCTACTTTTAAAATTGATCTATTAAATTGAAACTAAGTTCAAATCCTAGAGATCGGATTAATACTAGTTTTAACCTTTAATAGATATAGTCTCTTTCTTTTCTTTTAACTCATTACGATTTCATTAAAAATAGAATTGAGAGATTGAACCTTCAATTTTAGAAGAAATAATAGATACCTTATCCACTYATTTTACGGTAAAGTAATAATGAAAAGTCGAACTGGAATAATTTTGAACAATATTATATCTATATTTTTTTCGTTTTTTAAAGTAATATTAGATCTATGAATTGCATAAGTTAGTTGTTATTAAATTGAATTAATTAGTATTATGTACATGATTGTGATAATTCAAGACAGAATTACGTCAGCCCTCCATTTCGTAGAAGCAAAAATTAAAATTTTATATAGTTTCCCCAATGCCCCATTCTCCGCGTGACCCGATGGCCGATAACGCCAAATTCTATTCTATTTTATTTTTTCCAAATCGGGTCCACTTTTTCTAATAGGCATACAACATATATCGATAATTTTAACTTATTAAAAAAAAGTAAAATATTTATTTATTAACTTATATATTTATTAYATACTTTCTTTTCTTTTCCGTAGGTTTTATCTCCTCGAGTTTCTTCAAAAGGAGGGCGAAAAAGTGACTGGCCACCCCTTCCTTGCCTTCTCCTCCMCGTGTAGGATGTGCGCTTTATCTCAATCTTCTAGTTGAGTTTTTTCAGAGGTTGTTCCTCTTTCCTTTGTTACCGTGATTTTTTTCAAGTAGTAAGTAACATGGATCAAGTTATTATGTATATTAACGAGAACTCAAAYTAGATAAACGCACATTTTACCTTTTTTTGAGRTTGAAGGTTCATTCACCACCATTGTATTGCATTGTTGAATGCGCAAAAAAAAAGACCATATAACTAGATTATGCGAGGTTTCGCTTAATAGAGAGGGGAATTCTAATATATAATCGTGAGGATAGATGTGTAATTTTTAATTAGTGGACCAACGCTTAGATTGGCGGCCAATGCGAATATTAAATGAGTGAATATTAAGCGACAAAATAAAAAAGAGGATAAATTAGATATATTGATAGTTCAAGGGAAAAAAAATCAGAATTTTGGATTTGAGGGTTTTATTTTATACAAAAATCCACATCACTCTAGTTTACTAGTGGTTTGTGGGAAGGCTTAAATAATAAAAATGGGTAGATATTTTATTTAGTTACATAGTTTAGAAAAAGATAGACCCTGCAATGCCCACTGCAGAATCAATAAAGTATTATGAGCCAGAAATCAGTATGCTCAGCATTCAGCAATTTCAGTTTCAACCCTCCCATCCATCAACACCCAAAATTGGGACCATGCCAATTCAAATCTAACATAACATTCCCATTCAATTTGTTGATGGGAAAGCTTCTTAGCCKGTAAGYCAGAGGTTCGGATTCTCACATGCAACACGAGTTAACAAAAATTTAGAAAAATAGACCTAATCGACCTGTCGATTTTTTTAAGTTCACGTTTAGGCATTTCATTCTCCGATTCCTTCCTCTTCTCCTTTTTTTCTATACTACTCTCATTTCCCCTTCTCTCTTAATCTTCCACCTCTTCGTCTCCTTTTACGCTATTTAAATGTATCCCTCCTGTCCCYTCATCTCCTTCTCACAAGTTGGATCTCTATCATTTTCACGAGTTCTTTTCTTCTCTCACTATTTTGCTTGGAGTTCTCAACTCGTTTATCTTGCAGGGGATTKCAACCAAAATTGACCAACCATCGAAAGAAATCCCCCAACGAAAAACCAACTTGTCAGTGGTCAGCATCRTTCGAGCCTAAAACCAACGCTAACCAACCAATGTGCATTCTTACCTGATTGAACTAATATATATATACACATTATATTTCCATTCATATATGAGCAAGTTYATGAGTGGGTGCTTGATAACCTCTCTTGACAGCATTCCTTCAATGCTGAGCACAGTGAACCTTTTGTCTTTTGCATAAATTAACTTAGTTTTTTGTTCTTGATTGTTTGAAGGAYACATTCTATGATGACCTTAGATGCTCTTCCTACTATCAATCCTTTTACAACAAGTTCATGATTTGTACCACCCTCACATCAGATTTCTGCTACATCAAGGATTGGAAGTTTTTTCCACCGCTACTGTTTCACATACCTCTTTCAAGATCAATCCATTAGTCAAAACGTAAATTTGAACCGAGATATAGCTCTAGACCCTGTAACTTTGTAGATGGTCACTTCACTAAGGTTTTCGTCATGGTATATGTAGATCATCACTTTGATAAAACCAGATTTCAGGACAACTCAACTACCTATAGTGAATCTTCTTCTTCACCGTGCCTTCCAGCTCCCGATGATCTCGCTCCATCGTATTTGTTCTCTTCCTAAACCAAGAGGACCTCCAACTCTTTGTTCTTGCACTTATGCCCCCACCTCTTCACAACAGAAGGACAAGTAAAACAGAACTCTCTTTTTTATCCACACCTCAACATCATACATACGTTTGAAAGAATTGTCCCCTTTCCCATTAGGGTTCAGACAAAACCCACTCCCATCACTTCAAACATCTTTGAATTGTTCCACCAATTGGTTTGCTGCCCTTTTTAATGAATTCCCATGTTTTGAAGGTTCTCCACCGACACACTCCGATTCCTGCTTCTTCAAGAACTAATTGACTCCTTCCACCAGCCCTGCCATATTCGTCTCGATCACCGATATATCAGCTTCCTCCACTATAGATCCCAATCTCGATCTGCTACATTGATTCCACATGGTTGTCCATCTTCTTCCCTCTTGGTATGCCTTGCAAGCTGCCCCGACACCAACTGATATGACTACAGTCACAAAATGCCAATACAAAAGTAGAGAAACAACCAAGCACGTTTTCGCCTTTGAAAGGCTCCAGTCTCTTCCCTATATTACTCAGAGTCAGAACTTCGCTGCCCTCTCCCTAGAAACCTCGAGTGATTTAGTGCCTGACAGAATTACAAAAGTAGGCCCTACTTAAACTGCTAAAGCCCTTACAAAAATACACCCACATGGGTGACTCATAGGTTCCTTGATTCACACTTCATATCGTCTACTTACATCACTGAGTCTAACTCGCCTTTCTCGTCCCTAATGTAGTTAGCATAAAACTTCCTATTTTTTATAACTACCATATAGACTAGAGAGTTTAAAAAGTAACGGCAAAATCACAGAATACATGGTGAAGAATCACTTGGCAAAGGGGAAAAAAACACTTGGAGCAACCAGATTTAGGTACTTCTGCCTATTACATGATAATTATTTATGCAATAAGAATGCAATTTAGCCCGGAAACAAACAGAACAAACCTATCATATCACAGTAGGAACTATATAGTATCTTCTCGTCATTTTCTAATTTTTCTTTTTTTTTAAAGGTACCGAGCTTTCATTGAGAAAAAATGAAAGAATACAAAGGGGCATACGGAACCAAACTAAGCCAAAAAGGGACTCCAATCTAACAAAATAGAGGAAGACTCGTACTACCTGCATGGTCATAAATAGTACATGTTCCTCRACAAACACTTCATTTTTCTATAATTGGAGATTTATGTGCTGTCCTGGCAAAATTGATACGACAAATCTACAATCACATTTTATATAAGAAAACTCAAAGGATTAAAAGAATAATGATAACTAACAGAATGTTCATTATCTTATATAGATTTTCTCTATGGTTTGAACTCGAAATCTCAAAATCATCTAAATTTACAACTTGTTTTTTGACCATTAGATCAAACTATAGCAGTTAGCTCCAATGCATAATGTTGAAATCTTAGCACATAATTAGTAATCTCTATCAAAGTTAAAACGCCTACACCTGCTCACACATTATCATCAAGATAAGAATTTAACAGAACAAGAAATAGAAATCAGAAAGCAAAAACATATTATGTTACATGAGTACCACATATTATGTAGAAGAGATTGATCTGATTCCTAAAGGAAGACGTGGGCAATCCTAACACCTATACACAGAAAAATATAGAACATCAGACATGACTTTATTATTAGTTTTGGATGGATTCCAACCCTGTCATTATTTACAAGGCGTTTTTTTTTTTTTTAATATATAAGAAACCTTGAGAATGTATTGAACAAAAGAAGGAGAGAAACCTAAAGGCCGGGGTAGATGGCACCCCCACCAAAGGAACTAAACAAGAAAAACCTTCCAATCGCTTACAATCATGAGAATACATAACTTAAAAGGTCATAGTTGTGAGATACCGAAAATTGAAAGTTAAGGAGTTACGTGATACTACTCCAATTGGTTAATAATGAAACAAACTATAGGAATGAAATAGGGATGATAATTTACACCAAGTTATAGCATTGAAAATAATATTATCAAAAAGACTATCAAAAGATTGCTCTTTTCCGGCAAGTTCTAATGATGTTCATCCAAAGGAATTCTTTTTCCTTCTTGAAAGGGTGACCCGCAAGTGTATAGGAGKGGAGACACTTTAAGTCAAGAGGCAAGACCACCGACCACTTGAATGATGAGATTATCTTATCCCAAAAATTGGAAACAAAAGAGCAAGTGTGGAAGATACTTTCTTTTAACTTGCAATACGAACTTTTCGTTTATTTGGTAAGAAGTTTCAAAAGAAAAAAAGCCTTAGATAGGAAACAGTGAAGCATCATGAAGAGCATCAGCCTGAACCAAATCACTTATTTAGGGTTGATAACTTTAACATTAGCTAATTAAAGTGCCTTTTTATGTGCCCATGTTGCTTACTTTGGGTGGAAGTCCACACTACCTTTGATCAAAATCATGCTTCTTATAAAGTAGCAGTAGTAATAGCAATAATAACAATAAAACCAAACTCACTTTAAGCAGATATTTTACTGAAAAAAACAGAGTGTGAGAAATATATTCTTCATTTATTTGTTGACGGTGGATATTACAATATTATGATATTACCTAAATTCAATCATATTTTTACCTTAAGTGAAGGTCCAATGACCTACAATCCTGGGTGCTACCATTTTCTAAGTCAATCCAATATAATTAGAACCACCTTCCTAAAATTTGTAAATCCTCCACTAGATCATCAGGACAAGTGAACCTTACATTCTTACTACAAAGGAGAAAAATGAGCATAAATTTGGCATCTGCTTTAGAATATAAAATTTGAAAGCCCCTTAAAGAATCATCTGTTGGTTTAAGAGCCGCAGCAAGTACTACCAACACGGATTTCTTGCTGACCACCAACCTAACTTATATAAGCTAAAATGGGTCGATGGAACTAGGACAGAGAAATAGTTTGTTGGATACAAAAGTCTCAACTCTCGTACACAGAATAAGAGAGACAGAGTGCAGAATAATGTATCCTTAAATAGAYAAGCAAAGAGTGTTACTGTTACAACATGAGGGAAATTAACACATCCAAAATTCAACGACCTGCTTTGCTCCTGGACAACACTAAGGTTGTGCATAAGTGGTCAGCCTTGCGATTTGATCAAGCAACAGCAATGTCACTTGATCCAAAACATTAAAGATAATGTACGCAAATAAAATCGTCGGATTCATCCACGAGACAACGAAAAAATGTAAAACTCGAAATAACTGTAGAACGCATACTGGATTTTAGAATTCCAATAATGTAGAGTGTTAACAGACTCTTGGTAAAAGTAATTTGGTGTACATATTCCAACTATGAACATTTATCAATACACTACTGTAAAATAGACCAAACAGAATGCCTCAGTGTCACTCACGAAACACTAAATTTCTCTCATTTGCTTAGCAAGAAGAGAAGGAAAAATAAAAAAAGTTGATCAAACCTTTCAAAACCATGGACAACGTTTGCTACATACCTCAACTAACAAAACCCAATTGAATTAATGTTTCTTCTGTCTAGTGTCCACTTTTGAGTCTGTCAAACACAAATCCCAAAACCATAACAATGTCATCAACTGCAAAACAAAACTAATTAAATTCCGTTAAATGAGGATAGACAAGTACCTAAATGAGGATTGCACTCTTTGGAGTAGAAATCATTCTTCTCAATTAGCAGTTTCAACATTTCATCAGTGAACTTCCGGTTATTTGGGTCTGTCGTTTGAGACCCATTCTTAGAATCTGAAATTAGTTCTTTGAAACAGAAACCACAGCCTTGATTTACACTTCCATCAACAACCCTCTTATCCGAAGAAAGTGTTCTACTAGTAGCAGTAAAAGAAGAAGAAGAAGCTCTCTTAATTTTCCGCCGAAGAATTTGTTTCTTCGCCTTTCGAAATGGATATGAAATCACCTGCTTCGCCTTTCCAAAACCCCTTTTACCCTTGTGCTTTTTTCCATCATCATCATCACAATCATGCCCGATTTGGGCCGCCGCCATAGTTTTACCAGTCTCGTCGTCCTCATCATCTTCGTCGTCATTAACACCACTGCAACCAACATCTGAGACATTCTCAGCATGTCCTGATTCCAACATATATAAAAGTAAATTCCCAAATTGAAAATTAGAACAAAGGGGCGATAACACGGATACAATTGAATTTTCGTCGAGGATTGTAAAACACAAACTGGGTTGCGTTTGGATTCTTGTCTACCRTGGAAATCAGAAGGAAATTTTTTGAGAAATTGGACAAATGAAACTTCCGAGTGACGTGGGTCTCTAGAGGAACGAACAGGTGGCACCAATTTGATGGATTTTTGGGTAATGGGAAATGGGTAATGGGTTTGTTCGGACGATTTTCGCTTCGTGGAAACTGAAAGGAAAGGAAGGTAACAACTGACAAAGCTGATTTTTTTTCTTTCCTTATTTTTTTTCTCTCTCTCTCYCTGTTTCTTTCCTTTTGAGTTTTGAGAAGAAAAAAAACGTTTTCTTTAATTTTTAGTAATAAGTGAATTTTAAATTTATTCTCTTTTTAATTTGTTCAATAAAAGAGAATTTCAAATATTATTTTAGTCTTAGAGTCCGTGTAGGCTCGCTTTGTTTATTGTAGTTTTGAAACGTTTATTTCGATGTATTTATACAGAATAGCGTTTWAATCAACGTTTTTATCTAACCCACTGAAAAAGATGGTGGACATCAGGATCGCTATCATTCGAATGTGGTACCAGTTCATCCATATATTCCTCCTCCCTATCYGGACGTCATAATAGAGACTAACCAACATGAGCTAGCTCARCAGTTAATGCATTTTGTTATTTTTTSTGGAATTTGTAAGTTCAAACCCTCGTCTCCACATTTATTATACTAAAAAAAATTATAGGGATTAGACTTGTAATTTGATCGATGAAAATTTTARGTTTAACTTTTACGTGGGTTGTGAACTTTCAAAATTATTGATATTGAAGAAATTAAGATTATTCTATTTTATTTTTAACTTTCCTTGAATTTAAAAGATAATTACTGTTTTGATTCTCTCTATCATTTTATTTTATTTTTGAAACATATCATTTTATCATTAATTGTTTAAGAAATAGATAATTTACTATTATGTCTATTAGCATGCTAATTTGGAATGTACATCAGCCACATAAGTAATTGAAGTCGATATTAAGTGACCGAATATGAATAATAATAATGAATAAAATGTTATTTATTCTTTATATTTCATAAGACATTTCAAAAAATTTATAGTTATCTTTGTTTAATGGCTAAAGTTGAGAAAGAAAAAACCAAAATAAATAAATAAATAATTCAACCAGCAAAATAAAGTTTTTCCCTTTTTCTATGCTTGGTCGGTTTAATAGAGAAATTAAATTTATTGTCAAAATCGATAGGCTGAGACAAGAAATACCAACCTATTGAATGAAAAAAAATGACTCATTAATAGAATTCTGATTTATAAATTTAAAAAACAATACAAAACAAATAGACATTTATTTAACTTGTCTCATCAAGAACTAATTAGAAGACATGGTAACATAAAATAATTGTTCAGAGAAAAAAAATTAAAAAGAAAAATTCTACTCGTTCTCATTATTCACTGTTATTTTCTTAGTACAACAAATTGAGGTACGAGAATTTGAACTTCTAATCTCAAAAAAATGAATAAATATCAATTATTGCATAATTATATTCATATTGACTCCTTGTTCACCACACGATTAAAAATTTGATATATTTTTATTTTAATAACAATAATAAACATAATATTAGTGTCTGACTATCTAAATATTTTATCTAGAAAACATAAAAGTTAAGTATATCTTATTTTCTACGTACTTTTAAACAAATTTAACGGTGGTCAGCAAAAAATCGAGAATGGGGCGAGTAGCTAATAAAAAAGGAAATACAGAGAGAGTTAGGAAGAAGAGGAATAATTTAAAACAGGTAGACCCCAATGAGTGGAGAAGATGAAATTAGGGCACACATCTTCCACCTTAATTCCTTCCACAATCTCTGCAATTCTCCGCCACAGCAACATTATAAAACACAGCTTCAATTTCAATCGCAATCGAAAACCTCTGATTCCAATTCGTCTCCTGAATATCATCATCTTCTTCTTCGACTTCATCCACCGCCCTCGGCTGCGCCTTACCACTGATCTGCCACCATTGCCGCCATTGAATAGCTTCTGGTACTGGTGGTGCTGCCATCGACGCCCCAGCTCCACCATGGAAGAAYGGAATCTATGTTCAGATAACTTGCGATTGCAATCGCAGATTTGATTYCAAAGAATCGGTAACAGCGAAAACACGAGGATGGAGCTCCGAGTCGAGAAGAATGAAACATTTCGCTCAAATTTATAGCGCTCATGTGAGCCTTGTTTGTTTGATAAAAAAAAAGTGATGATTTTATATTAAATATTCAAATATTTTGTCTTATAATTACTTTTTATATTTATAATATATTTTTATAAGTCAAAGAATAATAAAGTAATATTTTTATTTATGTTTTACAAAAACATAAGAAAATTTGATTTCGTTGTTAGAAACATTTCTTAAAAATAGGAAATGAGAAACAATAACAGTTAACTAGAAATTAAAGAATGAGAAACGAGAATATTATGACCTGTTTGTCAACGTTCTTATTCCTTGTTTCTTATTTTTTATTTTATTAAAAAATTCAAGCACTTAAAAACTATCTATGTTGTGTATTTTCTCGTATTTTAGAAACATTCTCAAAATTACATAGAAACAACAAAAACAAGTTTTTTGTCCCTTGTCTCTTGTTTCTTGTTTTTATTTCAGAATATTAGTTTTATCTTTCTTGAATMTATGGATGTTGAGAACGAAGAAATAGAAGCAAAAAACGAAAATGTTATCGAAATTCTCGGTGGATGGGCTACGAGCAGCCGCTAGCAATGTCTTTACCTTGAAAATCCAAAGGAATAATATTGGAGGCATGTGCAATGATAAATGTGCATGTTAGGTTAAAAGAGCAAAGGCCAATCATTTGTTGGACAAGCAAGAGAATAATGTTGTGCGGCTGAGATTTATTTTTRAAAAATTTTAAGAGATCTACCAGCTTCTTTATTTTATTCTATTATCTAAGTTTAATATTCTCATACAGCTTATCAAACTTTGACCACCCCTTTTTTATAATGTACTTGTGGAGGAAAACATTCCAACAACTTTAATCAAACCCAAATCAATTCAATTTAGCTTAAATCTTATTTTTGTTTTAGATTCTCAACTTCTTTTAGTTGGTTGATCACATTACAGGTTTGGTCCATTGAACTTTAAAAAGTAGCTAATAGGTCACTAAATTTTTTATTTGGTAGCTATTAGGAGCTCGTTTGGAAACGTTCCTRTTTCTTAATTTTTAATGAAGAAAAATGAATTGCATGACTCAAACATCCATGAATTCAAGTATGATAAAACAATCTTTTTAGTTATGTTTTGAAACAAAGTAGAAATGGGAGCAAGAAAGAAGAAATTTGTTCTGATTGTTTCCAAAATTGCTATACAATTGTGAAAATATTTCCAAATAAAGAAAAAACAAGAAACAAAGTTAGTTACAAAATGCTTAGATTTATGATGAAAAATGGAAACGAAAAATAAGAAACCGGAACGTTACCAAACGAGCCTAAATCTCTAACTTTAAAAATGCTCAGTAAATCTCTAAACTTTCAATTATATCTTATAGATTATTGAACATATTTATTCAATCATGAATCTATATTTTGTGTATAATAAAACCATAAATTTTCAATTTTATGTTTAATAGACCTCCGTGGAACTTATTCTAACATAAAATTTAAATTAAAAAAAAAAAAGAGTTCCAACTGCTATTAGACCCTTGTTCGAGAATCAATTAGATATAAAATTGAAAGTTAAAAGATATCTATTGAAAGCTTTTCTAAAACCAAAAATCTATCGATACCCTAAAAGTTCGAGACTAAACTAGTAATTTAACAATAAACAAATAAACGAGAGCTCGGGCGTAAGCAGAAGGGCCATATCTGAAAAGCAAAGAAAAAGCACACCAAGAAAACTAATAATTTCCAAATACACATACAAACAGGAATCCATAGAGAGAACAAAGCAACTAGCAATTCCCATCCCACCAAATATGATAATGAAAATGAATTTGTTAAGCATGCTTATCTATCAAACCCTAATTTATAACAAATCAGAATCATGTATATACAGCATCATGGACTGGAGAAACACGCCATAATACACAAATTTCTGTTTGCCGCAAATACCAGCGCAAAAGTAGCCCCTTCCCTTCACAGAAATGAAAACGTTACACCCTAAAATCTCTATTTTTTTTTTAACTCTTTCTTAGCGTATTCTTCCTACCTGTCCACTGTTTTCTCGTCACCTCGTCCCGGTTTCGTCCACTGCTGCAACTTTCGAGGGGTAACTTGACATATCCAAGTCGATAAGCGACATGTCGTATGGTGTAGATAAATTGTTTGAGGTATCCATAAGAAGAGAAGACTTCATTGCGTCGGAATGTGTTGGTTCAAGGACCGACGGAGTACTTGAACTTGAAGATGAGACTGTGGAAAGCTGAATGTCGTCTATCTTGTTTCCAAACATGTGTTTGTTTCTTCTAACAGTGTCCATCTCAGGGCCTGTAGGCACGAAGGTGCGTGATCGATACTTCCTTGTGCCTTCATCGCYGTCGCTATGATTATAAAGAACATAATCATGATAAGTTGGGGCAAACTGCAAAAGAATTGTGGTTAGGTCAATAAACCACCCAGAAAGAAATACAAAAACCACCTCCAAATGAAGCTAGCTTGAAAACTATATCAAGTCTCACCTGGTGGACGGTGTCGTGGTAAAAGTCGTTCAATTTTAAGGCATGTGCGAGACTTCCCGTGAGACCGTGCGATCCACCAATATTTGCTCCTGCATATTCTTTGTATGGGAATGCATAAAGATGACCCAAAGCAGCTATAAGCATCTCAATGCATATAATGAAATCTTGAAACTGCGCAGCTTCCTCTGCATTCTTGATTAATTGAGTTTTTGCAGCAAGAAAAACAAGCACGCCCTAAACAAAAGTACAAAGCAAAAAAAGATTATTTAAAAGTTTGCCGTATTTATAAAACAAGGACCCCCTAAACCATAGTTAGAAATTTTATCTAACCAGATTGCAAAATCTTTCCCCGTAGATTATTACATAAAATTTCAAAGTCATTATATTTAACCTTCCTCTAAATACTGCCCAAAACAACATAACGTAACATACACACTAACAAAGAAAATGTCCATATTGTAAAAAAAAAAAAAAAAAAAAAAAGGAAACGCCCATATGGAAGCAAGTGATAAGATCATTCACCTGCCAGTAAGTCAAGAAGACAACAGATTTAATGATGATGAACTTCGGAACCGGATTAAACGGTTGAAGTAAATCTCTGCATGCCATGTAAAACAGTACCAATGCATAAAGAGCCATTGTGTATGAGAGTGTATAGATGATGGTGAGATAGAGGTATGATTGTTTTGGACTGAAATTTCCATCTTCGTACTTCCCTTTTGCATATAAAATAAGTGTAACAGCAGCTAATATAGGCTTCAGAATCACAAACTGCAAACAGCCTTGCTTGCACCTCCGTATAAAACGCCTGCATTAAAAGCTACTCGTAAGGTCATCTGATGAAGTTTCAGAATAGATATTTTTTCTGATAAAGCAAAAAGATACATTACTCGAATAGATAGCTATTAAATAAATGGTCATCTTAGACCACATTTCAAATAAGTATCACCAGCACGGAGAAGCTTCCTTAGCCATTCCGCACTTTTCATTGTTATAGTGAAAAGTTCCAAAGTAAATCCTACTCATCCCAAAACCCAACAATCTTACAAAAATTTCAATATCCCAAATAAAGTTACATTAACTACCCCTATTACTATTGACTACTGATTACAAAAGGGGAATAATTACAGAAATTTTCCTCGAAGGATGCTCAAACAGAACTATCAAATTTGGCTAATTCAAAAACTTCAACCCAGTCTTTAGCCATAATGGTGAGCACTCTATTATTCATTTCCAGCTCTTGCTTTTCCTTTAATAGAACATAAGCGCATATCTTTTCCCATTAAAAAGTTTTCGCCTAAAGGACCACAGCCAACTCCTATTCAGATTTTTAAAAAGTGTGACAGGAGCTCTAAATTCTACTAATTCTTGGCTCTACTAATTCTTATGTTGTTTCACATCTAAATAGAAAACTTGCCACAAGGAATGACTCCCTCTTCAAAAGGAACAAGGCTAAACACAGACAACTCTCTTTCCAACAGATTATGTTTCAAAAGAAACAAGTCTAACCTCAAACAATTCTCCTTCCAACCCTTGTTGCATGAGGGTGCTCTATCTCAACTGGTCGAGTGTAATGCCCTCAAAAACTTGGATAATGCAGGAGCTCTACTCAATGTGGATCAAGGTATTGAGGTGAAGTTGGGAAGCTGAGAGTAGTCCTAAAGGAGGTTCAAGGTGATTAATCTCTAGATGGTAAGTAAGATGGTCGCATGGTTGAGAGCTTCAAGACTTCACCATTCAATTCAAGGTGATCAACCTAAGATTTTAAAATCTTACAAGTTTTCTTGACAACCACATGGTCACATGGTTGTCATCAGTCCTGTCATCATTTACTTCTTAAGTATAACTTAACTTAAAAGGTATTTATTTTAAAATTAATATGGAGAAATAAAAGATAATACAAACAAAAAATATCTTTGCAAATAGTTTTTAAAATTTAAAATAATTGAAAACACAGTTTTAAAAGGCTAATCTACAAAGCAGTAATTACAAACAATTTCAGAAAATACACTTAAACAATCCCTCAAAGCTTCCACGCTCTCCAACAAATAACTTTCTGTTCATAATATTTGCCTAAAATATACACTAGTTCCTTTGTACTCCCAATACCCTAGAGAGAGCCCAATTCATAGTTATAACAACTTACATGTGCACAAGATAGAATAATACACCGAGCATTTCAACCAAAGATGGTATAATATTCTGAGCATTTCCAAAGTGTCTAAAATACCATAGTTACAWGTGCCTAAAATTCCTTCATTCCTTTGGCATCTAAACCACCAAAAGATAGAATAATACTAGGAGCATTTCCAAAAAGTTCAACCCAACAAAACATGTACAATTCTCAAAAAATGACCAAAAAGTCTTTGATATACAATCTCAAGAACTTAATCTCTTATTTATTATTTTTATACAAAATTAATTACATTGAAGTTTTGAACAAACGAARTTGCAAAAAGATGGAGAAAAAATTCAACCCAACTGATGGAAGATTACCAGGAAAAAGAAACCAATCTTCCAATTTAGCAGAGAAGGAACTTGAACCGTAATTACAAAAAGGGGCATATAGTTTGCACAATGTAATAATAACAAAAGAATAAGAAACCAAGGAGTAATAGCAAAAGAAATATTGCCGCAAAATACCCAGAGAGATCTTTATTCACTCTTTAAAACTCATTTTTTCTCTATCTAGATGGTGCGGAACAGTCGGTTCAACGATTTCGAAGAATTGAGTAGCAAGAGGAGAAGAGATTATTTGGGGATTTATCGTCTTTTGTCGATGAGCACCAAATATGTTAGAGACCCATGCCGGGGGTGTCTACTACAGTGCAAAAKTTCCCTCAAGGAAAASTGACCTTCTAAGAAAAGTGGAAATGCAAAAATCTTTCACAAAGAAAAGGCAGTTTGAGAGATCACGGAGAGATTTACAGGAGAAAATATGATTTATAACTTGCCAAATACAACAGTCCTCTCACGAGTTGAGTGTAGTAGCAAGAGAATTCATAAGGGAGATCCGGTCCTGGATTTCTACATCTGAAAGCTTCCATCTGAAGTTTTATTTCTAGCAAAGTGAGGACTTTCCATAAAAGAAATATATTGATAACCCTGTTCCAAGGAGTTACAAAAAGAGATCCAATTGGAGAAAATAGTAGAGGGGGAATCATTACAAAAGAGTAGGATTTTTTGCAAAGGACAAAAGAGTAGGATTTGGTGAAAGTAAATTTAACACAAAACCCTGATACTAGTATCCAGGTGGAGTATAGCGTTTCAAATTACATTAAGGCGACCCCCCCAATCCCCAATTCTATAGCATTCCTGTGGCGTATATCTTTGTTAAAACAAATTAATGTCATGAAAGACAAGAAGCACACTAATAGCGAGTTTGGGATGACTTTTGAGTAATGCTTTTAAATGGAGCACTTCTTAGGTAAAGACTTTTGGGAGAAGCACTTGAATATATTTAGAAATTTCAATATCACTTAAGTATGCAACCAAATACCATAAATATTTCGGAAAAAAATTTTAATTCGCTAAGAACACTTCTATTATTTCAAAAGTCATCCCAATTCTCAAAGCATAACTAGAAGTACATGTCTAATGCTTATCTATTATTTTCGAAGTATTTAACATAATTCCATTTTTACTATTATATGCTGCCATTAATAACTCAAACATTATATCAAATCAAAATAAAACAAATTCTAAATTTTGGAAACTTACCCATCTAGTTGTACCGGAGGAAGACAACATGTCATCAAGCTCCATGATGGCTTCAATACACGCCCACTTAAACTTATTACAACAGCTCCAGGGCCACCAACCCATGCGAGACACAATGACAGAAAATTATAAATGACCCAAGCTTCATAGCTAAAAGAAACCACAAAGTCAATGGTTAGACATTTTGATCCATAACTATAACAACCAAAGGGACAAAAAAATAAAATTTCTATTTATTATTTAAATGGAACCACACAAGTTAAAATCATCACATTCATTTTTCTTCAATATTTTCAATTACGTTTGACTTCTATGCACTGTGAATTACTTGAAAAAGGAGCATTCAAGAAGCATGCTTTAGATAGCCATTAAGAAAATAAACAATACCAGAAAAAGAAATGACCAAGAAGCTGTTAAATTAAAGACACGACTCAAAGGTGAAGTCTTTCTGTTAGGCATCAGTGATCTTCCTGAAATAGCATTAGCAATCTTCCTAAAATAGACCTCACACAATGACATGATAATGGCTTCTCTACTGTGAATGGTTCGATAGTTACTGACTTAATGTTAAACCAGTGTTTTGAAAAGCACGCCTACGCACTCACCTAAGCATGCTTCCTAGAAAATCCCTACATAGGTGCCTCAGCAATTGAAGCCAGGTTATTTTCTTTTAATTATTTGTTTTAATTTTTTAGGAAGAAACTAAGAGATATTCTTAAAAAGGGTTCCTTTTCTCCACCATTTCTAATCAAAGCTCTAACTTCTTACAATTTTTATTATCAATGCTATATTTGTCACATCTAAAACTTATTTACATTTTTCTATTGTGTGACTCAAAAAAAAAAACAAAACATTTGCACCCCATGCTTAAAGCCCAGGACTATTGCGCTTTAGTGCACCTAATGCTTCTAAAAACACTGGTTAAACCATTCTCTGAGTAAAATATTAGAGAAAATAATGGAAGGAGAGAGAAGAGAGAGAGTGGGGGAAAATGAGTGGCTCTGCTAAATAGAAATAGGCATAAACTTCAGAATTTCATACACATTTTGATTAAGCAAGCACTACTTACACTTCTCGAAGGGAATTAAAATAGATTGAACTCGCAGGTAAAACAAGAGACAAGAACGACATCAGTGCATAAACCTGTAATGCAAGGAAGCATTTTTACAATTTACTAATAATGTGTTGCAAAAAGGAAAAGAAAAAATAAAGAAAGAAAGAACGCAGACAAAGGTCTTACTTAAAAGTTTCATATAAAGAAGCACCATACATAGAGAATGCCAAACTGTAAATTTCAAGGATCTTGAAGCCAAAAGATGGTGTGAAAAAGGAGAGATGAATAAAGGGCATATTATGCAAACAATAGAGGTTAGTTAGTCATGTGTAATTTTCCTGCCACGGTTAGCCACTTGTAATCTAAAAACACAACTAAAGGTTTACAACTCTCTATTCTTGAAGATAAGTACAAATCCTACATTTTCCTACTTGTTCTGGACCAAAGCGTTATTAGATCACCTTGATACCAACCCTTTACAAACTTAAAGTGGCTTTTGAAAAGAATCCAAAAAAAGGTTGCCATCAACGTTCCCACCATGGCAAGTTTCAGGCAGCTATTCTGAGTTCCCAAATATTAAACCCACTGGATGAAGACCATATTCAATCACTATAACCCTAATCCACCAAGCACCAAACTCCAAACGGAAACACCACAACCACTTTTCCAGCGGGGCCATGCTACAAATTAGCACTTGCATATAAATTGTCATTAAACCAATAGTTTCAATTTTGAAACATGCATAGCATCTACGACATAAAAGGAACATAATATGTGCTTGTTCATAAATCAGAGATACGTACGTTCAAACATGAAAAGGTTAGTGAGGAAGGAACACTAACCGGGACCATAAAGATGATTCGCACAATGTATCTCTGATACGTTGGTTCCGTATAGTTCAAAAGATGCCGGTAAATGTGAAAGATCGCCAAAGAAATGGCTCCAATCGTGCAAAAAAAGGCAATAATACCGTAGTAGACAGGAACCACTTCCCCCATTCTGAAAAGTAATCGCCGAGGTGTGTGCACACGTTATCAACGGGATCAAAATTAGTAGTTAAGCGTCAGGGAAGATAGAATTTATCAAGAATAAGATACGTAAAATAATAGAATATTCTGCTTGCCTATTGCTGCTTCAAAAGTCTGATCTCGTAAGCAAGGAGAAGATTGCGAGAAACCCTAGTCTGCCACCAAATGAACAATTAACTGGAGGCAGACCACGAAATAGAAATCGTCAAGCGACTTCTGCTACTGAACACTTAGTGCATTGCATAGCATTGAAAAACTAACAGATTTCCATAAACGGATCGAATCAGAACTCGTATGAAACGCCATAATTGAATTTTCAGAAATTAACAAATTAATAGCATCATCACCTTCCTGAATGTTGGAAACTAACAATAATCTACAGCGCGCGGATCTGGGAGGTGCGAGTGAAATGTGAAATTGAACAAGAAAGTGTCGGAATTGAAACGAAGAAGATGGAGAGAAAGTGAGCTGGAAACGAACAGTGGCGGCTTCGAGTCTCGCGGAAGAACAAT